TATAAAGAATCCAGTGTGGGAAAAGCTTAAATGAGAATAATGCTACTTTTGTTGCTTTAAAAATAATTTACAGCTGGGCATGGTGGCTCATCTAATCCGAGCACTTTGGGACGCTGTGGCAGGAGGATCACTAAGCCCAGGAGTTCAAGACTAGCCTGGGTAACATAGGGAGACCCTGTCTCTATAAAACACAAAAAGTTGGCTGGGCATGGTGGTACTAAGGTCCCAGCTACTTGGGAGGCTAGGGCAGGAGGATCACTTGTACCCAAGAGGTTGAGGCTGCAGTGAGCCATGATCATGCCACTGCACTCCAGCCTGGGCAACATAATGAGACCCTGTCTCTAAAAAAAGAAAAAAAAAAATTACATATGCCTTTGGTATCAAGCTTGTGAATAATCTTATTTCAGTCAGTTATTTAGGGGAACACTGGATAATCATTATTACAATGGTATCAAGGAAGGTAGCCCCTCTCAAAATAGTTTCTTAAGAAGAGGAATAGGTTTATGGTTTATATCAGGGAAAAATATGCAAAGATCTAGTTACAGATCTTTGAAGTGGAATATTTGGAAATGTCTCCAAAGCAAAAGATCAATGTAAGACTGTAAAAAGGATACAAAAAGAATCGGGGGTGAATGAAAATTATGATCCATAAAAAAACACATTAAGATTCTGAAACAGAATACAAATACAATCTGAAGATCTTTAAGGGGAAAGAATAGAATATAAATAACAAAATGTACAAACACCTGGGTGTAGATATTTGATATGGAGGCCTTGAAAATAGCCCTGTAGCAAAAAAAGTCAGTATAACACAAAGTTTGCTCAGGAATTTTAAAAATTAGGGTTAATGGGCAAGATAGTCCTAATAAATAGTAAAAACATGAAACAGAATATAAATACTAACTAATGGACTTATATAACAAAGAAAAGTAAAGCGCAAAAATATAAATGGCATAAAACTGTGCCCTTGGCAGGCAGAAAAGGATAAAGATTAACTTAAATATAACCAGCTCTTACTATATGCTCTGTGGGACAAAATGGCCTACTTAATTTTATTTTCAAAACAGGGAAATGAGCACTGCTTAAGAAAATTGCTATGAAGTCCACACATTCCTGGTCTTGTTAAGTAAGTAATTTATTCTTTGCTTTTATTTATTTACTGAGCATAATTTTACCAATGATAATCACAACTGCTGAAATACTAAAGACTGCTTATTTGGTTCTGTCTTGTAAACAGCATATGAAGTTCTCTCTAACAGTTGATCCACCATATATACAGGCATGGTTATAAATCCATTTACCCCACAATTGGGACACTGTGGCAGGAGGATCACTGAGCCCAGGAGTTCAAAACTAGCCTGGGTAACATAGGGAGACCCTGTCTCTATAAAACACAAAAAGTTAGCTGGGCATGGTGGCATGTGCCTGTGGTCCCAGCTACTTGGGAGGCTGGGGCAGGAGGATCTTTTCTCTGGACTATATCTACCTGAAATGTAATGACTGAGGCTTAGTGTGAAAATGGGAAACCGTAAGATTATATATAAGGCAAAAGCAAGAAAACAAGGCTACAAGATTTCAAAATTAAACTCCTCCTTCCTAAGCACTCCCTATTTTTCTTTCCCACTTTGTTTTTCTTCATACCTCTTACCATCTGACACGTTATTTGACATATTAAGTTCCTTTTTCTGTTTATTTGCACTTGAAAGCAGAGATTTTTGTTGTTTTGTTCATTAATAAACTCCTAGTAACTAGGACAGCCCTCACATATAGTAGGAGTTCCATAAATATTTGCCAAATGAATAAATGAACAATCTAATGCCATCAAAAGAGCCGGGCGCAGTGGCTCACGCCTGTAATCCCAGCACTTTGGGAGGCTGAGGCGGGAGGATCACCTGAGGTCAAGATTTCAAAACCAGTCTAACCAACATGGTAAAACCCTATCTCTACTAAAAAAAATATATATATATATCCTGGCGTAGTGGCACATGCCTGTAATCCCAGCTACTTGGGGAGGCTGAGGCAGGAGAATCACTTGAACCTGGGAGGTGGAGGTTGCAGTAAGCCGAGATCATGCTATTGCACTCTAGCCTGGGCAACAGAGCAAGACTCCGTACAAAACAAAAAGAAAACAAAAACTGTTAAACTAATAGTCTATCCAGATCAAAGTGATTTGAACAATTAAAATACTTCACAAATAAAAGAAAAAATAAATAAACTGATGGCTAATCTGTCTTATGGAAAATTCTCCTAATTATCATCCACTTCTGAAAAAATAGAACATTGCATCTAATATCATTATCTGTAAAGTTTGAACCCTAACAACCATCAATATCTATTAGCGCATTTTTTTTCTTTTCTTTTCTTTTATTTTTTTTTTAAAATAAAGATGAAACCTCACTATGTTGCCTAGGCTGGAGGTTATTCACAGACACAATCATTGCACATTGTGGCTTCTAGCTCCTGGCCTCAAGGAATACTTCCTCCTCAGCCTCCTAGTAGGTAGTACCGGGGAGTGCCACCATGCCTCACTTCTTAGCACAGTTTCTAAGTTCAGTGTGTATAAAAGCAGGGCCAGCCCTTCACTGGAGGGTGAAACCCTGCAAACTAAGGTAAGTACAATAAAAATTTCAGTCATTAGTTATTTGCTTCTGTCTTGTAAGTAGCATGTTAAATCCTCTTGAACAATTTTCCTCCCCAAGACTTTAAACATCTGCATTTTCTACAACAGGAAAAAATTTCATTCTGAATATATAACTTTTCCATATTTCTAGTGAACCGTCCTCTAATACTGTCTTCATTAAAGTTGAGACAGCCTTTTAAATGAAAGGTCAATCAAATGAACGGTTTTTTGTTTTTGTTTTTTTGAAAGAGGGTCTTTGCAAGGTCGACCAGGCTGGAGTGCAGTGATGCCATCACATCATGGCTCACTGCAGCCTAGACCTCTCAGGTTCAAGTGATCCTCCCACCTGAGCCTCACCAGTAGCTCGGACTATAGTCGCATGCCAGCATGCCTGATTGCCTCCCAGGCTCAAGCGATTCTCATGCCTCAGCCTCCCAAGTAGCTGGCATTACAGCCTCCCAAGTAGCTGGGTATACACCACCACACCCAGCTAATTTTTGTATTTTTAGTAGAGATGGGGTTTTGCTATGTTGACCAGGCTGGTCTTTAACTCCTGGCTTCAAGTGATACACTCGCTTAGGCCTCCTAAAGTGCTGGGATTACAGGCATGAGCCACCACACCCGGCTTAATTAAAAAAATAAATTTTGTAGGAGCTTGGCCCGGTGGCTCACACCTACAATCCCAGCACTTTGGGAGGCCAAGGAGGTCAGGTTGCTTGAGCCCAGAAGTTCAAGACCAGCTTGGGCAATAGGACAAAATCCTGTCTCTACAAAAAATACAAAAATTGGCTAGGTGTGTTGGCATGTGCCTTTAGTTCCAGCTACTTGGGAGGCTGAGGCAGGAGGATCACATGAGCCTGGGGAGGTCAAGGCTACAGTGAACCAGGATCAGGCCATAGCACTCCAGCTTGGGCAACAGAGTGAGACCTTGTCTCAAAAAAAAAAAAAAAAAACCATGTATTTTTTTTGTAAAGACATGGTCCTCCTATGTTGCCCACGCTGGTCTCAAACACCTGGGCTCAAAGTGATCTTTCTGCCTCGTACTCCTAAAGTGCCAGGATTACAGGCGTGAGCCACCGTGCCTGGCCCAAGGTTTTTTTTGAGACAGGGCCTCGCTGTGTTGCCCAGGCTGGATAATAGTGGTGCTCATAGGTCACTGAAACCTTCAACTCCTGGGTTCAAGTGATCCTCCCACCTCAGCCTCCCAAGTAGCTAGGGATACAGGCATGTGCCACCACACCCAGTTCCAAATGAAGTTGTTGTTGTTGTTGTTTCCAATCTACAATTCTTTTTAATACTATTTTTATTTTTTGAGACAGGGCCTCTCTCTGTTGCCCAGGCTGAAGTGTCGTAGTACAATCACGGCTCACCATAGCCTCAACCTCCCGGAGCTCAAGTGATCCTCCCACCTCAGTCTCCTGAGTAGCTGGGACTATAGGTGCACACCACAATGCCCAGATAACTTCTGTATCTTTTTTGTAGAGACAGGCTTTCGCCACAGTGGCTAGGCTGGTCCTCAAGTCCTGGGCTCAAGCTATCTGCCTGCCTTGGCCTCCCAAAGTGCTCAGGTTACAGGCGTGAGCCACCACGCCTGGCCACAACTCTTTCACTTTACTGTTTGGTGTTCCTTTTCTAAGTATTTAAAAGGATACTAATACTAAAAATTTTCTTTTCAAAAAATTTTCTCTTTAGCTCTTCCAGAGGGAAGATGGAGCCTAAGAATATATCTTGCTACCCAAAGTACTACCCTGTCTTCTCTGGAACCACTCCTCTTAACAAAACCCAGTTTAAGGCAGAGGTGAGACATCTGAAGGCTCTTTAATCTGGAAGGATCTCATTAGACTGGTGTGACAGGCTGTTGTTAAACTCTCTTATGTTCTCCTAAAAGCTGGAAAAGGCAAGGAAGGATCATTCCCTAGAAGCCTTGAAGGGAGCACGACCCTGACAATTCCTTGATTTCAAATTTCTACCTCCCAAAACTGTGGAAGAATAATTTCTGTTGTTTTAAGCCACTGAGTTTGTGGTTCTTTGTTATAGCAGTCCTAGGAAACTAATACAGATGATAAAGGTCTAACCTTTCTAAATTCCATTAGATAGTATTATCATTATATTTAAATCGCCATTTAAAGTGTGGCTTTTCCAAGTGTACTTTGCTTGAAAAAGAAAAAAAAATCTCTAGACTTTGGTTTTTTTTTTAATGATGGATTTAAAGGTCAAGCACTCACAGAAGTGTCAATCCATACTTTAAATGCATTAATGTGGTCTTGAAAAAAGTAATCAGATAGATGTTTAATAGTTAAGCATTGTCCATTTGAGTTGCAGAGCACCCCACCCTTCATTCATTCCTTCAACCAACTACTCAAGTGAAGAACATGCTTACTTGTTATTGGTTGGTCCTGTTGCCAAGACATCGGACTGTAACTTTGGAAAGAACCCCTGCTCATATTTGCCTTGACCAATTTTCATATCAAGTAGATGTGGATGGATTGCAGTGTGATCCATTTTCATCAGTCTCTGTTCAATTGATTGGGCTATAAATTAAATTTATAATAAATTAGAGACATTTCATTGCTAGCCCTTCAAAAATAATGCTTCCTCCACTCATGCACCTACAGAGAACCCAATCACTCCGACACTCTGAAACAGACTGTGTGTGTGTGTGTTCACGTGCACGCGCATGTGTGTATGTTTCGAGACAAAGTTTCGCTCTTATTGGCCAGGCTAGAGTGCAATGGCACAATCTTGGCTCACTGCAATCTCTGCCTCCCGGGTTCAAATGATCCTCCTGCCTCAGCCTCCCAAGTAGCTGAGATTGCAGGCATGTGCCACCAGTTCCAGCTAATTTTGTATTTTTAGTAGAGATGGCGTTGCCTCACGTTGGTCAGGCTGGTCTTGAACTCCTGACCTCAGGCGATCCACCCTCCTTGGCCTCCCAAAGTGCTGGGATTATAAGCGTGAGCCACCGCGCCCGGTCTTGAAATAGATTTTAACAAAGGCTCTTCAGAAATCAGTATAATGTAAGTATAAAAATGTTAACTTTAAGTCAATATTGGATGATTGATTTTCATGGTATTTTCTGCCTTTGTCAAAATCAGGGCAGCGGGGCTGAAAAACCTACAATTTTGTATTAAAACAGTTTCCCTTAATTGAGAAATTCAATATTCTTACACAAAAATACGGTTCTAAGTACAACATTAAAGAAAATGATAGCAAATAAAATATTTTTCTTGAGCTGAAATACAAGTTAAAGAGAAGACACAAGCACAATGGCCTTATTAACTTTACTTCTTTGTACAAAGACCTATTAAATATTCATAGTTCTCCATCTGTAAAAACAAGCAACGGCGTGAAGTTTATTACCTCACTTTTAGCAGCAGTCACATTCTCATTAGTAGGAGTCATTTACGAGTGTTTATTAGATCAAGAGGGTAATACAGCAAAAGTTAAATAACCAGGCATTTAGAATGTTCAGAGGATAAGAAACTGGCCTTTGGAAGAAAAAATAGGTCAGTGTTAAGATGTGATTATTAAACATTTCTATTTTAAAGCCACTAAAAGTCAGGGATGTTGGAAGATGTCTCAAAGACTCCAGAAACAGTGACCTATTTCTCAGGTAAACAAACAAATAAAACCTGATCTTAAACATTTTAATCAACTGAATTGTCAAGAGAAAATATAATATTTTAGAAGCAAGACTAGGTCTCCGATCCTCTGCCTGGAGATTACTTAAAAGGGGAGAACAAGCAGTAATGGTAGTTGTGTGATAAACAGAACACACTGTGGGAGCTGCTAATTTTGTGACTTAAGAGAAGAACAAGGTGCCTTCATAAATATTTCATATAATCAGTTTATGTTGCCCCTTTTCCTTTTTTTTTTTAGATGGAGTCTAGGCTGGAGTGCAAAGGCACAATATCAGCTCACTGCAACCTCCAACTCCTGGCTTCAAGCGATTCTCCTGCCTCAGCCTCTCGAGCAGCAGGGATTACAGGCACCCACCACCATGCCCAGCTAATTTTTGTATTTTTAGTAGAGACAGGGTTTCACCACGTTGGCCAGGCTGGTCTCGAACCCCTGACCCCAGATGATCTGCTCCCCTCGGCCTCCCAAAGTGCTAGGATTACAGGCGTGAGCCACTGTGCCTGGCCACAGTGGTATATTTTCAAGAGTATTATATAATTTCTGTGATGACAGTGGGAGTACCAAACTGTCTGAGAGGCTGAAAGAAAATCTATTTTAATTGGAAAGACTTTCTGGAAGCACACAATTAAGGTATTGGTGCTTAGTTCCATCTAAAAAATTCCATCAGGAAGGGAGAAATGAAATTTGTACAACAAGGCATTATGCTATTCATATGGCTATTAAGGCACTGGAATTCATTTTATTCTCTGAACAAGGATAGACAATTTCATTAACTCTACTTCCTAAATTTCCAAAACCACATAGGTAATTGCCACTTCCTGAAGGGGCTCCAAGGATCTACCCTGATTCGTGGGAATACAACAGGGTGATGTTTCTATGGTTACATAAAAGACATCATTTACATACTTCTCCCTTACATACACTAACGCTTCAGCATCATCATTCCTGACTTTGATCTATTTAAGTGAAGTGGGAAAGGCAAGCAAGCAAGACAGGCAGATCAAGGAAGTTCCACATTTGCTGCCTCTCCTTTTTCTCCAGAGGAAAAGTTGCTGTCAAATAACTCCAACATTTGAAGGGAAAGAAACAAAAGGGAGGGCCATCAGGTGACAGGTATCTGCTTATGTGGCAAAGAACAGGTTAGGGACCAGGCATAATTGTATAAAATAAGTGTGGACTAGTACATTTTACATAGTTCTTTCTTGAATGAACAGCTAACATGATGTTAAGGCTTCCTGTGCCAGAAATCAGTCAGACCTGGATTCAAACCATGGCTCGACCAATCACCAGCTATGCAACCACAGGCAAGTTACTCAACCTCTCAGTTTTCTCAACTGTAAAATGAGGGCAGTAATAAAATGAAATAAAAATAAGTATTCCAGGCTGGACATGATGGCTCATGCCTGTAATCCTAGCACTTTGAGAGGCCAAGGCAGGTGTTTTGTTTGAGCTCAGGAGTTCGAGACCAGCCTGAGCAACATGGTGAAACCCTGTCTCTACCAAAAATACAATTAGCTGAGCATGGTGGTGTGCATCTGTGGTTCCAGCTACTTGGGAGGCTGTGGTGGGAGGATCACTTGAACCCAGGGAGCAGAGGTTGCAGTGAGCCGAGATGGTACCACTGCACTCCAGCCTGAGTGACAGTGAGATTCTGTTTCAAAAAAAAAAAACGGGAGCTGGGCCAGTCACAGTGGCTCACACCTGTAATCCCAGCACTTTGGGAAACTGAAGCAGATGGATCGCTTGAGCCCAGGAATTCAAGACCAACCAAGATAAGATAATTACCTTAGTAACATGGTGAAACCCTGTCTCTACAAAAAAAATCACCCGAGGGTGGCGGCACATGCCTGTAGTACCCATTCCCCAGGAGGCTGCAGTAGGAAGATCACCTGAGCCCAGGAGGTTGAGGCTGCTGTGAGCCATGATGGCGCCACTGCACTCCAGCCTAGGCAACAAGTGAGACCCTGTCTCAAAAGAAAAAAAAAAAAAAAAATCATGAACAACATCTGGCATGATGACTGACATAGCAAATACTCATGTTGGCTATTAATATGATTATTTATTTAATGGACTATATTACACTCCTAGACGAGACTGGCTAAGACTTAATTTCTTTCTTTCTTTTTTTTGAGACGGAGTCTCACTCTGTTGCCCAGGCGGGAGTGCAGTGGTGCCATATTGGCTCACTACAACCTCCGCCTCCCAGGTTCAAGTGATGCGCCTATCTCAGCCTCCCTAGTAGCTGGGATTACAGGCGCATGACACCACACGTGGCTAATTTTTGTATTTTTAGTAGAGATGGGGTTTTGCCATGTTGGACAGGCTGGTTTTGAATTCCTGACCTCAACTGATCCGCTGGCCTCGGCCTCCCAAAGTGCTAGGATTAAAGGTGTGAGCCATCACGTCCGGCCAGACTCAGATTTAATTTCAATAAATGAAGCTATTATAATTAATGGCACTACCAAAGCAAAGATACTGTTTTAGTATGTAAATTAAGCAGAATCTAAGATTCACTGTTTTAAATAAATACTTACCCTTTCTTGGATACAGAGAAGAGGTGAGAAGTAAAAACGAAACATAAGTAGCAAGACAGAAATTAAAAATTTTCCCATTAGACAATAAAGAGAATAAAACAAAAGTCAGGCTGGACACAGTGGCTCACACCTGTAATCCCAGCACTTTGGAAGGCTGAGGAGGGCAGATCACCTGAGGTCAGGAGTTCGAGACCAGCCTGGCCAACATGGTGAAACCCCGTCTCTATAAAAAATACAAAAATTAGTCAGGCATGGTGGCGCATGCCTGTAATCCCAGCTACTTGGGAGGCAGAGGCAGGAGAAATGTTTGAATCCCGGAGGCGGAGGTTGCAGTGAGCCAAGATTGCACCACTGTATTAGCCAGGGTGACAGAGCAAGATCCATCTCAAAAACAAAAACAAAAAAAACAAAAACCGTAGCAACCTTCCAGTCATACTTGATTCAATTTATTATTGTTTTTCCTCTTCTGACTAAGAGATAAGGAAAGTCAAGTAGGAGTGGGACTCAGAAACAGAAAGAAAAATTGACAAAGCATTTTGTGATAATCGGACCAGGATTAGCCATGAGGTCTAAAACTGAAAATTAATTTTGTTGTACATAAGGCCAACAATTCGTGGGAAAAAAGCGATCATGGATTTTAATTTAATTTAAAAGGCATGGCAAATGTACCTGCTTCTTTTAAAGTGCTGCATTTCTGATATATAGATGTCCGCAAGGTGGGTGCCCTTACATTATACAGCCTTATCTTATCAATCCGAGAGTCAAAGACCCGAAGCAAAGGATCTTTCTCTTCCCACTGAGACATAATTTTATTATCAATAAAGGTGGCAAACATCTGTGTTTCAATGAAGCGTGAAAGAAATGGCAGGTAAGGCTCAGGCTGGTCAGACAGAAAGGAAGCCTGTAATGAGATAATTAGGAAATTATTAGTGCAAAGAGATCATCTCAACACTATACGATAAGCCTGAAAATTATGTTAACTCAGGACATTCTTTTTAAATCTTATAAAACTGACACTTGAAATTCAAAAATCCTTAAAAATCCACTTTTCTTTCCATTTTCCTAAATTCAGAAAATGTAGGTCACTTAGGTCTTTAGCACTGATCTTATTTTACAAAATTGATTTACATTCTGATCCTTATGACCATTATGTAGAAGAGAGGGCATCAGTAATGAAAAGATGGCAGAGACGTTGCTATACAATTGTCAATCATCCACTTCACTTGCAGTTAAAAATTTTTATCCCTTTCCCCAATGGGTTGTAATTTCTTCTGTTCTCTATTCCTAGCCTATGAAATATACTTTCAAGCCATAGGTAGTGAGATGATTAACTGATACAATAAAGATAAACATATCAGCATTAATCTTAAAAAAAAAAACATGGAATTTATGCTTATGGGTGAAATTCTTTTGTTCTTCAAGTGAATGCTTTTCTAGACTCTAACTGTGAGAAATCAATAGATGAGTGTTAAGCCAAGGTCAAATTCCTTCCACACCTGTGCTGACACAACAGTCGCAGCCTTAACAACTAAAAAAGGCACTGCCTGGAAGCTGGGCATGGTGGTGGCCACCTATAGTCCTAGCCACTAGGGAGGCTGAAGCCAGAGAATCCTGTGAGCCCAGGAGTTTGAGGCCAGCCTGAAGAAACATAGTGAGACCCCGTTTCCAAAACACAAACAAAAAAACCAAAGCACTGCCTGAAAAACCATCAGAAGCAAGCCTTTGGAGAACATGTACAATAAGCTGTACACCTTTCCTGTTACTAGCCTGTCTGATGCATGGGATGGTTCAGTACATCGTAATCAGTTCCTAATTCAAAGTGTCATTTTTTTTTTCTGTTGTTCTTCCATGTTCATGTGTGTACAGGAATTCTAGACTCAATGCAGTACTAAAATCTGGAAGTGAATTTAGAAGTAAATTCCTATTTTGGTTGCTGGGTTGGTTTTTATTTTTGTATGGCAGAAGCTAGAAGGCGAAAGGGGAAAGAGGGAGTAAGTTCTGACATAAGGTGACTTTTAAAAATGAGTACTCATCAGCTTGTTGCTAGCATATTTATTTTCATTCTGAAATTTAGGAGGTCTTTTTAAAATTTCCTTAGAGAAATCCACTTATTCACTTTAAGTAGTTCCATAGTTCAGGTGTATATACATAAATCCAAATAACCACAGAGATTCACAGTAGTCTCTAGAAATCAGTTCACCTCCACCAATAAACATCTCACTTTTCATACATCAAAGAGCCTTTTTTAAAAAAAGTGGGCCAAAGATCTGGCTTTTGATATTCAGACCCTCACAGACTATAAAATTTTAGGTCATCAAAGATTTGGCTTGTAGGACTAGTATATCCTACAAATTTTCCTAGGGAAGGTAATTACAAGCCTTCTGGAATCCAACAGAAAATTTTCATTTCTTTAGGGGTTATATAAAAAGAATTACATTTATATAGTTTGAGGCTACATAAAGATTAGGAAGGAAGGAAGGATCAGGGCTTCATTTAGGTAAGAATTTGAATTGCCCCAAGGATAAACCATGGATATACACAGATTAGTTCTAAGATAGATAGGAAAAAGTATGGAAAATTGTTGAGTCTAATGAGAAAGGAACCTAAGGGCATACACTTAAAGAAGTCTTGTTAATATTAAAGAAGTTTTCTCAAACATAAGTGCACCAGGATGCTTTTGTAGTTCATAAATGTAATAACTGGCTTTTCATGCTCATGTGTGAGATACACCTTCCTCAAACTTTGTTACCATGTTGGCACATTACCTGTCTGATGTGGGGAAAAACAAAGCACACCAGAACATAACTGTTCAACATACAATATTATCCTCCAACAGAAAAAATATCTGATGAAGTAAAAAAATTATCTTTTATTTTTTTGAGACAGGGTCTCACTCTCTAGCCCAAGCTGGAGTGCAGTGGCATCATCTTGGCTCACTGCAGCCTCAACTTCCCAGGCTCAAGTGATCCCACCTCAGCCTCCAGAGTCACTGGGACCACAGGTGCACACCACTGTGCCTGGCTAATTTTAAAATTTTTTGTAGAGATGAGTTCTCACTATGTTGCCTAGGCTGGTCTCATACTCCTGGCCTCAAATGATCCTCCAGCCTCAACCTCCTAGTGTTGGGATTACAAGTGTGAGCCACCATGCCCAGCCACTATGTACCTTTATGAAAATTTTTAATTATTTCCAACAATTCTCCAATATTGTAAATTAGCCTCTTGGAATGCATCAGCCCCTTTAGAAGGCCTTTCATGACATAGAGAGGCCACTTAGCGAAATCCATGATACATTCCAATACAAGTATTATACCTCAGCAATCACAGAGGCAGAGAACTAAACTATACCCTGGTGACCTAAAAGAGTTAATATACAACCCTAAGTGCACCTGTCTGAAAAATAAAATCTGGGAGATAGGTGAAAAAAAAACTTGCAGAAGAATCCAGTACCCCTTAGAAATCACAGGACAAGGAAAGCTGGTATTATTTTCTGACTTCCCTTTCCAAAATCTTTGGAACCGTTTTACACTTACAGTCATAAAACCTAATTTAGTCACTCTTTTTCTCCTTTGATCTTAGAATGATAGAGAAATTTGGCTTCTGAAACCAAACTGTTAACTTTACATGGACAAGTTGTGATTTCTGATAGGATAAAGACTAAATAAATGATTTCTAGACTAAATAAATAGATTTCATAGAAAAGGAGTAGGCTTATTTAACTATACTTGATCATAAAATAAGAGTAAATAAAACTGTTATAAGGTCAAACAGTATCAACAGATTTGGAAAACTTGCAAAATTTAAGTTTCTATAACTTCTTTCTTTTTTTTTTTTTTTTTTTTAGAGGTGGGGTCTCTCTCTTTTGCCCAGGCCAGAGTACAGTGGCATGATCTCGGCTCATTGCAACCTCCACCTCCCTGCCTGGGTTCGAGTGATTCTCCTGCCTCAGCCTCCTGAGTAGCTGGGATTACAGGTGTGTGCCACCATGCTCTGCTAATTTTTTGTATTTTTAGTAGAGATGGGGTTTTGCCATATTGGCTAGGCTAGTCTCAAACTCCTGACCCTCATGATCTGCCCGCCTCGGTCTCCCAGTGTGCTGGGATTAAAGGCATGAGCCACCATACCCAGCCTGTTTCTATAATTTAAGCATCTTTAAGGTAAAGAAAAATTTTAAATACGATTACAGGCAATTTAACACACAATTTAATGACCAGCTCAATGAGCTGGTTGATTTGCTTTCTTGTAAAATTATTTTACCTAATGTAAAAATACTTGGTAAAGCAAAGTTCCTAATGGGCTGGAAGATGAAGTCTGCATTTAAAAAAGGTTAACAAAATCAATAATATATGGATAAGCATAGGCACAGAAGAAGAAAAAACTTAAAAATTTAAAAAATCAATAATAAAGCCACCAATAACCACAAAAGGAAAACTATGGTTCTTTTTACTTTGTCAAAGTTCTGCATCTGTTCCCGGTTGGTCAGCCAGGATTCCATATCCTGAGCAGTCTGAATGACAAACGCTTCGTAATCTGCAAACATCTGTGTAAAGCGGTTAGCAAAGACCTCTCGGAGCTGTACATTGAGCTGGTAGTCCCTTAGTTCTGCCTCTTCACACTGCAGTTTTAAATCCTTGTCTTTTTCACCCAGAGAAGCAGAAAGGTCCATTTTTTCCACAGCCACACCAGTCCGCTTGGCCAGAGCCTGCAAGCGGGCTATGGTTTCATTGCCCTTCAGTAACTCATACATGCTGATGTTATTAGTGGAGACATTGCCGTTCTTTTTGTCATTGACCAAGTCTTTCAGAACCATATTCTTCAGTTTGCTGGTACTCTCACTGCAATGTAGGCTGCCCTCAGGAGGGATCCCAAATTGAACAAGAACCTCAGAGAGTTCTTGGATAAAATCCACTTTATTGGGGAACTGTGGAAATTCTTCAGGCAACTCAATAAAATGGTTGTCAATGTCCACAAAACACAAATTAGCCTGAAAGAGAACAATGAAATAGAAAGGTTTAAAATAAAGAAACTGTATGTTCTAAAATATTCTTGCCAGCCACAGTGGCTCACACATAATCCCAGCACTTTGGGAGGCCAAAGCAAAAAGACTGCTTGAGCCCAGGAGTTCGAGACAAGACTGGGAAACACAGGAAGACCCTGTTTCTACAAACAGAAAAGAAAGTCTTGCCAACTATTACAAACAAAAGCATAGATTATGGCGCCTTTTGTTAATCTTTGCACGGTTTAGAATTTCTTATTCTTTAAAAATAACCTCTTTTTCCATCATTTTCCCCTATATGAGTATTTTTATACCATACTTAATATATATGAAAATTTTCTCTGGGTCTCAGCAATATATTATAATCTGAATATGATTTTCGAACATTTGGCATCCATTAGGCATTCCTATGTGGGTAAGGGTGCCCAGACTCATAAGACCTTACACATACATGGTATTAGGTAAAATGTTCACTGAATGCACTTGAACTTTCTTTGCCACTCCACTGCTCTAATATCTGTAATTTAGAATTGACAATAATCACTAAAAACCAGCAGCTGTAGTATCTCCCAATAGGATGAAACTGGCAAAATCAATCCAATTCACAGATAATCCACAAATTTTAACTTTACTCAAAATTCACTGAACCCCCCAGAGCAAAACTATTTCAGAAGTCATTATACCTAATGCAGGAGGCAGAGAGAGGTGGTAGAGGCAAGTGCATGTATAACTATGCACTTGATTAACCTCTGAATAATTAAGAGTTCACACAAGATATTTTTGAGTTGAGAAAAAGAGGTGACAGAAATCAGAAGAAATGTTTTTTTGAGTTTGTTTATACTTCACATTTGGAATTTATTTTGAATAAATATTTTAAATATTTTTCAAGTAGATACAGAAAATTCAAGAGGCCAAAGCATATGTATAAAGTTCTGATTATCCTTCAGGTATCTGTAGTAGACTCCAAACAGTATTTTACCTTTACTGTACACACTCTCTTAATCAGGACAAGGTTGTTAGTTAAAAAAGAAGGTTGTGCTTCTAGATTGGGGGGTGGGGTGCCAAAATTGTAGCCCATCACATGAAAATAATATTGATTACATTAATGGTGGAACACAAGACATGGGGTGGAAGTCAATAAACAAAATAGGAAGCTTCACTGTGTTTTTCTCCCCGGTTCCCCCACCCCTAGGTCACCAAGGGGAAAATTCATACTGTTCTTTGATCTCGATGGCAAAGTAAGGGAAAAGGGGAAAGCAACCAGTTAGGTCTTTGTTTTTCTCTTTTGATCTTTGCTCTTCATGTTAGATACCAATTAGCAAGCAGCATACAGAAATTCTAAATTAAGTTCAATAAAAACTCAAAATGAGGCCTGGCATGGTGCCTCATATCTGTAATTCCAGCACTTTGAGAGACTGAGGTGGAAGGATGACTTGAGGTCAGGAGTTTGAGACCAGTCTGGCCAACATGGTGAAACTCTGTCTCCACTAAAAATACAAAAATTAGCTGGGCATGGTGGCATGCACCTATAATCCCAGCTACTCGGGAGGCTGAGGCAGGAGAATCACTTGACCTCAGGAGGCAGAGGCTGCAGTGAGCCAAGATCGTGTCACTGCACTCCAGCCTGGACAAAACACAGAGAGACTCTGGCAAAAATAAAATAAAATAAAATAAAATAAAAAAATAAAGTAAAATAAAATAAATAGATTTTCCTCCATTCAAAGCCAGATGATCAACAATGATTCCTAAAGCCTGATGTAATCTTTGAATCCAGCCTTTTAATTTTGCAGATGAAAAAACCGAGGTCAAAGAAGTTAGGTGACTTTCTGGCACCTGTTCCAAATGTGCACCCTCAAAGAGACTGGTGGTTTATGGCCTTTCCCTGATATTTTTCCTCACCTCCAATGTCAGTAGTTTTCTCTAAATAAATTAAGAGCTGAAATGATGCATCTTGCTGAGACAGTAGCACTGCCTACACCATTCTTTTCTTTTCTTTTTTTAAGATGGAGTCTTGCTCTGTCGCTCAGGCTGGAGTATAGTGGTGTGATCTCAGCTCACCGCAACCTCTGCCTCCCGGGCTCAAGCAATTCTCTGCCTCAGCCTCCCGAGTAGCTGGGATTACAGGTGTCCGCCACCATGCCTGGCTAATTTTTAAATACTTTTAGTAGAGATGGGGTTTCCCCATCTTGGCCAGGCTGGTCTTGAACTCCTGACCTTGTAATCCACCTTCCTCAGCCTCCCAAAGTGCTGGGATTACAGGCGTGAGCTACTGCGCCCGGCCGGCCTACACCATTCTTTACACTGAAAGGTTTAAATGGAAGGTCACATAATTCGAATGGATGATTCAGTATCTTTAAAACAGAAGAAAAAATTTACTAATTTGCTAATCTAAATGTTAACCAACAACCTCCCATCACTTAGATTTGGTACTATTCCCTTCATTAATGCCTTCCTACTACCTTTTTCTATCCCTCTCCTCCTCCTATGAAAAGGGAAAATGATATACTTTCTGAAATTTTAAAGCTTATTACGGTCATGAAATCACTGCTGAGCTGAAAGTGTACTACAAGGTAGGAGTTCCAACACCACAGCTACTGGTCTGTCTTCATGATCCCACAAAAGTCTCCTATGTCTGCTTAGGAAGGGCCCAAGCTGGGGCTTTGATTATCACAAAGTAGAACAGGAAATACAAACTGTGTTATGAAAATGTATTGAAGAAAACTAAAAAGAAGCCCTTTCTCCAAAATAAACAAGAACTCTATAATAGGGCATTCTGATAAGTTGCTTCTCACTTTTAACACCATTAAATAAAAAAAAAAAATCAGAAGAGTATTGCATGATAAAAATTTACTCAACACCTCAATCTGACATTGCTTTAGGACTAAATATTTCCACTTATCAACACTACTCACAAGCCTTCACGATATGTAACTACTTACTTCCTATTAAAAACAACAAAAGTGGGCTGGGCTTGGTGGCTCACACCTGTAATCCCAGCACTTTGGGAGGCCAACATGGGCAAATCACGAGGTCAGGAGTTTGAGATCAGTCTGACCAACATGGTGAAACCCGGTCTCTACTAAAAATACAAAAAATAAGCTGGGCATAGTGGCAGGCGCCTGTAATCCCAGCTACTGGGGAGGCTGAGGCAGGAGAATCACTTGAACCCAGGAGGCAGAGGTGCAGTGAGCTGAGATCACGCCACTGCACTCCAGCCCAGGCAACAGAGTAAGACTCCGTCTCAAAAACAAAACAACAACAAAAGTGGCAGGGCACAGTGGCTCACGCCTGTAATCCCAGCACTTTGGGAGCCCGAAGTGGGTGGATCACTTGAGGTCAGAAGTTCAAGACCAGCCTGGCCAACATGGTGAAACCCCATCTCTACTGCAAATACAAAAATTAGCTAGGTGTGGTGGCGTGCACCTGTAATCCCAGCTATTCAGGAAGTTGAGGCAAGAGAATAGCTGAATCTGGGAGGTGGAAGTTGCAGTGAGCTGAGATGGTGCCACTGCACTCCAGCCTGGGCAACAGAGTGAGACTCCGTCTCAAAAAAAAAAAAAAAAAAAAA